GAGAGGTTTAAGAAAAGGAGTTGTGTTTTATTTCTTCTAAGGCAGGGTCTCACTTTAGCCCTACCTGAAATGTAACTCACTGTGTAGCCCAGGCTAGCCTTAAACTCATAATGATCCTCATATTTTAGCTTCCCAAGTGTTGTGATTACAGACATGAGCCACCACATCTGGTGTTTTTTTGAAGTGTGTGTGTGTGTGTGTGTGTGTGTGTGTGTGTGTGTGTGTGTGTAAGGGATTGATCCCAGAGGCCTGCACATGAACTATGCCACTGAACAACATCCCTAGACTAAGGCCTCTGTTTCCCTAGCTGGGCGAAATCATCCAGGCTAGGGCTGTAGCTCAGTGGTAGAGTGCTTACCTAGAACACTTAAGGCCTTAGGGTAGAGCCCCACCATTTAAAACAAACAAAACAAAATGAACATAGCACGTCCATCCAGTACTAAAGAGAATTGGTCTTGGCTTCTTAAATTTGAAATTAGACCCAGGTACCAGAAGTGGAGGTAGAGGAGGATCAGCCCTCTCAAGGGAGTGGCTTCTGGTTCTAGAGATAAGAAGCCGACTCCAGCCCACTAAGCTACTAGCCAGTTGCAGTGAATGAGTAAGTAAAAATAAAGAACGAAGCCCAATGTTTATCCTTGCTTTTCCTTAAGAAGTCCAGTGACTACACAGGTCTGCCTCCATGCGGGCCTCTCACCCAATCACTCTGCATCAGAGCAGTGGTTCTCAACCTGTGGGTCGTCACGTATCAGATATCTACATTACAATTCATAACAGTGGCAAGATTACAGTTATGAAGTAGCAACAGAAATAATTTTATGGCTTGGGGTCACCACCACATGAAGAACGGTGTTAAAAAGTTGCAGCATTGAGAAGGTCAAGAACCACTGTGTTAGCGGCTCAAGAATAAAATTGGGGCCAGGTGTGGTGGTCCTTGCTCGTAATCAAGTACTCAGTAAGAGCAGGCAGGAGGATCACCAGTTCACGGGACAACCTGTGCTACACTGCAAAGCCCTGTCCTACGGAAAATAAATAAATAAATAAACAGATAGATAGATAAATAGGGAGCTGGGAGTGTAGCTCAGTGGACAGAACACTTGCCTAGCCATTTTGAGATGCTGCGTTGGCTCACCAGAACCACAGTAAGTAAATAAGAAGTAAAAACACGCCGGGCGGTGGTGGCACACGCCTTTAATCCCAGCACTTGGGAGGCAGAAGCAGGCGGATCTCTGTGAGTTTAAGGCTGGCCTGGTCTACAAAGTGAGATCCAGGACAGGCGCAAAGCTACACAGAGAAACCCTGTCTTGACAAACAAACAAACAAACAACAACAATAAGAAGTAAAAACAGGTACAGTGGCCCACAACTGCAATCTCAGCACTGGGCAGGCAGGCACAGATCAGTCTTTGAGGTCATCCTTGGCTACAAATCCAGTTCCAAGCCACCCTGGGCTACATGCCACGCAGTCTCAAAAAAATCCAAAGGGGGTCTTACAAAAACCACATGATTTCAAAGCAAAAACTTTTACCCGTTGCTTGATGAGTGTGCTTAAAAATGCTTTCCAGGTGTTTAGATAACATCTGTTTTGGTGTATCTCCATTTCTGTTTTGAGTATTGTCTACTGACACTCCTCCGTGAGGAAAGCTGGAGCCTGAGCCCCCCTCTTCCCACCAGCCCCCATCACGCACACTCCTCTCCCATCCCTTCAACTGAGCTAGACCCATATTTTGGTCAGTCAATATTCAGTGTGGTAACCAGGACAAGGCAAGTCCTATTCACAATGATAACTGCATTTCCTTCCTTGCTTTTTCTTATGTTGTATTTCCCTGTACTTAACAATGATTTGCTTGCCTCGTTTTCTTTATATGCATAACATTTCAACAAAAAGCTCCTGTTGACACTTAAAGGTGTACGATTTAAGTCTGGGTGTGTGGTCATGCCTGTTGCCCAGCTTCTTAGGGGGCTGAATTTGCCTTATTGCTTCAGCCAAAGCAAGTTTGGACAGGCAACATAGCAATGACCCATCTCAAAATTTTGTTATTCAAATATTAATTATTTTATTATTATTATTATTAATATTATTATTAATATTATTATTTTTTAGCTGAGGATTGAACCCAGGGCCTTGAGCTTGCTAGGCAAGCGCTCTACCACTGAGCTAAATCCCCAACCCTCAAATATTAATTCTCATAGAAAAAAATTGAGGCAGATTTTAAAAAACCCAAGGAGTAAGGGTCAAAGGTAAAGAAAGACCCTTGCAGCCAGCCCTGAAAATCCGAGCTGGACCGCTGCATGGCTGAAGGAGAAAACTGACTCCTTCAAGTTCTTCTCTGACTTCACAAGCCAGCGCCATGGTCTTTTGAGACAGAATGGCCTTGTGTTTGCTGTGTAGCCCAGGGAAGGGGGCAATCCTCCTGCCTCAGCTGGGATGGCAAGCGTAGGTTAGGAACGGACAAAACATTTACCAACAAATAACTGGTTAAATCCATCACTCCTTATGTCATTAAACCATCTACAGACCTTAAAACTAATAAGGTTGGTTAACAAGTACTGCTACATTACCAACCACATTGAACCCTTACTTTTCCGTCATCGCGTATAAACCTATACCTCTTTAATATCTCCCCACGAGCCTACAGGTTTGTGATCAGAAAATTTTTTTTTTTTATATATATATATATATATATATATATATATATATATATATATATATATGGAAAAATTAAAGAGCAAAGTAATCTGAATTAGAGTTTGTGTATGTATTGCTATTCACACGACCAACAAGGTTTTCATATTTTAAAGTTCTTGTTTAGCTGTTGGCGGAAAAGTCTGAATTCTTTTTCCCCCTATCAGCTACACGTTTGCCTTATATGGCTAATAATCAGCTGTGTCTGAAAGAATCCACGTTTGAAAGTAGGAAAGCCAGATGTTCCATACGTCTAAGGGAAAGTATTTTCAGAATACGAACGGAAAGGGGTGACTGTAAAGCATTTGACTTATGCGAAAGTAAACACTAAACTTCAGACAGTAAAATGCTTCAGTTTCATGGAAGACAGCTGCAATGTGGAGCGGGGTGGGGGTGTGGGGTGGTGGTGTGTGTCGGGGTGTGGGTGTTAGCCTAACCCTGACAGGCGTGGCTTGGCCAAAGCACGAGCCGAGAACTCAACCAATCAGCGCTTGCCCCCGCCCCTGCGTCCAGTCTACATAAAACCCTGGTACTGTCTGGCCTTCCAGTGTGGAAACTCAGCGACATCCTGGAGTTTACAGAACTCAGGCTTCAAGCCCAGTGGTAAAGTGCTCTCACGGAAGCGCACAGTCCTGGGTTTGATTCCTAGCACCCCATAAACTGGAGCATGGCGTTTCATAACTGAAATCACAACACTTGGGAAGGTGGAGGCCAGAGGATCAGATGTTGAAGGCCGTCTTTGGCTATAACGTTTAAGACCATCCTGGGATACATGAGACCTCCCCCCAGCATCCTCCATCCCCCCCCCCAAAAAAAAGATCCAAGCTGGGATCCCTGGAACTCCCTCCTGTTCCCCAGGGCCCCGGCGGGAACCACGCACCGACACGAGGGGGACGCGCAGGTGAACCCCCTGCAGCCTGTTGAAGGTGGGGAACGTGCTCCAGGCGAGGAAGGCTCCGGGCTCGGGCCCCAGCAGGGCCACGAGCAGCACCTGGTGCTGGAAGCGCACGCTCGGCTGCTCCTCGTAACTGCTCCGCTTCAGCCAAAACCCTGCAAGAGACAAGGCGGGTTGGGGAGCCAGGTCAAGAGAGAGGGCCCGGGCCAGAGGGCCGCGCCGAGCCATGTGGCTCTCCAAGCCCAAGCAGGCTCACCGTGGCTCCGGAAGGCCACCAGCAGAGGAGGGATGTAGGTGAGCGCCGTGGCCAGCAGTAGGAAGAGCGCGGCCTTGGAGCAGAGCCCCGCACGATAGCCGCGCTCGGCCGGGTGGGAGAAGAGCTGGTACAGCGCCATGAGCGCAGGGCCCGTAGCGCCGAGTCTCCACGGCAACCGACAGCGGGCAGAGGAACCAATCGCAAGCACGCAGGCCTTTAGTAGGGGTGGGGCTAGCGGGGTGTGCTGGATTAGAAAGTAGATGCGTTTTATGCGTTGCCTTTGGTCCCTTCAAGAGAACAGCAAAACCACTATTTCCACTCACTGAAGACTGTGTCATCTTCTATCCACATATGCATAGAAGTTGACTTGGTAAATATTTCCCCGTAGGTCATCTATTAACGCACGACATGCGGGTGGTGAATGTAGCTTAGCTGGTAGGAGTTTAGCCTACCATGCAGGAAGCCCTGAGTTCATCCCTAGCACTTCATTAAACGAGGCACAGTGGCCCACATCTGTAATACCAGCAACCCGTGAGGTGGAAGCTGGAGGATCAGAAGTTCGAGGTCATCTTTAGCTACATTGTGAGTTGGAGGCCAGCCTGGAATACACTGGACTTCGTCTTAATACAAAAACTTCAATGTGAGGCAGAGCCAGGCTGATCTCTGTGAGTTCCAGGCCAGCCTGGTCTACAGAGGAAGATCCAGGACAGGCACCAAAACTACACAGAGAAACTCTGTCTCGAAAAGACCAAAACCCAAACCCAAACCAAACCAAACCAAACTCCAATGTGGTTCATACCAAAGCCGAGCCATTTAACGTAACAAGGCCACAGTTCTGGAGCCAGGTACTTTTGACTTCCAATTTGGTTCTGTTTTCACCATACCACATGGTGGTATGCCAGGAAAGCCAGAAAACAGGGCACAAATCCCCTGGTTGTTCAAAGGTTAGAGGTAATCTATTTAATGACTCCTTCTGATGTATGTAGTTAGATATATGTGTTGGTATCATATTCCCCAAAATTAGCATTTGCTGATAGATTATGTGAACACTTACTACTGCCAATATTTCAACATGGAAGAAAGTTAGCTTTTGTTTTGTTTTGTTGGTTTTTCAAGACAGGGTTTCTCTATGTAACTGCCCTGGCTGTCCTGGAACTCTCTCTGTAGGACAGGCTGGTTTTAACTCTCAGAGATCTGCCTGTCTCTGCCTCCTAAGTGCTGGGATTAGAGGTGTGTGCCAAACCCCTACCCCCAACCCTCAACCCAAGCAGAAGATTTTGTCTGTTTTGAAGTAGGGACTTACTATATAGCCTGGGCTGACCTTCAATTCTCCTTCTTCCAGGTCCTATGCATGAGCAATCAGTGCTCTTAACCACTGGGTCATCTCTCCAGCCCCCACCAATAATTTATCTTAATTCTGGAAATATTGTCCTCTGACCTTCACGTGCATGTCATGGTGCTCATCTGAAATCATAAACAAATAAGTAAACCAGTGTAATAAAACATAAGGAACTGGAGAGAATGGCTGCTCTTGCAGAGGATCTAGGTTTGATTCTCAGCACCCACATGGTGGCTCACAGCCATATGTAACTCCAGTCACAGGAATCCAACAACCTCTGTGGGCACTGCATACACGTGATGCACAGACGTATATGCAGTCAAAACACCCATACACATAAAATGAAAGGGACAAGCAATGGTGGCACACACCTTTAATACCAGCACTTGGGAGGTAGAGGCAGATAGATCTCTCAGTTTGAGGGCAGCTTCATCTACAGAGCAAGTTCCAGGATAGCCAGGGCTACACAGAGAAAACCTGTCTCAATAATAATAATAAAAATAAAACAATAAAATGAAATTAAGGAAAAATATAAATGTATTTTTTAATTAAATAAAAACTGCACTAAAACAACCATTTTGAAATGGCTGGATGTGATGTAGATTCCTTGGGGTGGCTGTTCTGTGAGTAGAGAGTGTTTGCCTCCAAAGTGTCAGCAGAAGGGGATGCATACTGTAGCTAGGTGAGTGAGGGAGATAAGACAGAGGGAGGTGACTGGTAAGAATTTAGGAATACATAATGGTTCAACCTTAGCAAGGTGTGGTGGTGTATACCTTTATTCCCAGCACTGGGGAGGTAGAAGTGAGGCAGAGAAAGGTGAATCTTTGTGAGTTCAAGGTCAGTCTGGTTTTCATTATGAGTTCTAGGACAGCCAGAGAGACCTTGTCTTAAAAAGTAAAATAAAATAAATGCTTCCCCCTCCCCTGAAAGGCCATATACTTGGTAAAAAATAATTAGGAATAAATTATACTAGCTGTTCCTCTTTCCTGCCTTGATTTCAGGAAGCTAGACTCTGTGGTTTTATTTCAATTCTTTAAAAGAAAATATTAAAATGATTTTTAAAAATATATTTATTGTGCATGTATAGGTGTACATGTGTGCATGTGCCACAGTTTAGGTTTGGAGGTCAGACATCCTCTGGGCCATCTCTCCAGCCCCTGAATATTGCATCCCCATTCCACCCCCCAACAGGGATTTTAAATGTAGCCCTGGCTATCCTGGAACTCATTATGTAGATAAGTGTTGTGGAACAATCTTTTTGTACACTGTGAAGATGTGTTGCTCTCCATTGGTTATTAATAAAGAGCTAAATGGCCAATAGCTAGTCAGGAAGAAGTTAGGTGGGGCTTCTGAACAGGAAGAGAGCTTGCTGGGATGAAAAAAAGCAGAGTTAACAGGTGTAGAGGAAACAGGACATGTACATGATGAGGTAACACGCCATGAACCATGTGGCAGCAAATAAATTAATAAAATGGGTTAATTTAAGTTATAAGAGCCTTAAGTTATAAGCCTTAGAAACAAGCCTAAGCTATCAGCCAAGCATTTATAATTAATAATATGTCTCTGTGTGGTTATTTGGGAGCTAGCTGGCAGGATAGAAAATTATGCCTACAGACAAGGCTAGTCTTGAATTCACAGAGATCTACCCACCTCTGCCTCCTGAGTGCTGGGATTAAAGGCATGTATTAACAGGCCTGGATCAAATATTACATGTTACAGTGCTAAAGTTTTGCATATGTTATGGTATTTTCACATTTTTATGATTGAACAGTGGCTTTTCAGTGTCCATTACCAGAATGTCCTCCCGTTACTGCAGTTTGCCTCAAAAGACAAAATCATTTCCTTCAAACTGCACATTTTAGATGGGAATAGTGGCGCATGCCTGGAATCCCAGCGCTTGGAGGGCTGAGACAGGAGGCTCAAGGGTTTAAGGCCCATCTGGGCTACAGAGCAAGTTTCAGACCAGCCTGGACTACATGAGCTTATCGCAAACAATCTCAACCTGGTTGGTTCAGTAGGAAGGAGCACTCAGCACAAACATGAGGAGGACCCCAGTTCTAAATCCAGCACCGAGGTAAAAAGCCAGATCAGGATGTGTGTGCCTGTGATCTCAGTGTAGCTGGGCCTTGATGGCTGCTGGCCCAGCTCCGCGTTCAATGAGAAAACCTATCTCAAGGGAGTAAGATTAAGTATGATGGGGAAGGACCCCTGATGTTGTTACATCTAGTCCATTATGCACCACAAGGAAGGAGAGAGACAACACTTATGGGCTCCCAAGACTTTAATCAATAAGCAGAGTCGCTGATCCATCAGGGCTGCAGGACAAGGACTAGGGAGCCTTGCTCTTCCTGACACCCCAAGCAGGGCCAGAAGTGGAGTTTATGAGCACAAAAATCAACAAACATTTGTTGCCAAGTTAAAGTTAGAATTTTCACAAATCCGGAGTCAGAGATTAGGGGCTTTCTTTGTATGTTCCATCCACAGATACAGATTGCAGTCCAACCAATCGAATTCATTTCTTCTTTCTGTGGTTAGGACTAGCCATAATGTTTTAGAGAACTAAGGGGCATAATAGACTATTTCTATTGTTTAAAGAGAAGGTTAGTCATCTATTGGAAAGTTCCCAACTCCCCTAGGGCTTGGAAACATGAACTTTTTTTCACCCTACAGGTAAAATGACAGTCTGAAGTTAAAATGGCAGTCCTTAGGACAAGGTGCTTTTGCCTGCTCCCTTCAGTATCCTACTCCGACCATCACACGCACATACGTGGATCATCCCATGGGCATCCACATACATGTGTACATATACCACGCACATAGGAATCCAAGGCCAGTCTTGGCTACATTGTGAGTTCAAGGTTGTCCTGGCTACATGAGACATCCTGCCTGTCTTATAGGTCTGCTGATGTGTGATTGCATGTGTTGATAATCCTACCACTCCTCTTGACTCACCTCCTCAGTTCTCCACCCCCTCTGGAAGACATCTAGTGCCCTTAGAATGTTCAAGAAAGCTAAATGCAGTGACCAACACATGGATGCATATCATGGCAGATTAGAGAAGCCACTTAGAGGATGATCTAAAAAAAAAAAAGATATCAAGTGAGCAAATAAGACAAAAAGACATTGCTTGTCATAATAACCATCAGGGGACATGCCTATGAGTTGATGAACAGTGGATTTTCCTCCCTGAGAAGTGTACATAGCTCTTACTTGTAAGTGATAAACACATGTCTTGGACTAGGAAACAGTGACCAGATTTATAAAGAGAAGCTGGAGGTATTTTTTTAAAAGATTTATTTATTTATATATTTTATGTATATGAGTTCTCTATCTGCATGTACTCCTGTATGCCAGAAGAGGGAATAGGTGGTTATTATAGATGGCTATGAGACACCATGTGGTTCTTCGGAATTGAACTCAGGACCTGGAGAAGAACAGCCAGTGTTCTTAACCACTGAGCCATTTCTCCAGAATGAGAAGCAGGATTTTGTTTGTTTGTTTTTTTCGAGATAAGATTTCTCTGTGTAGTTTTAGTGCCTGCTCTTGCACTAAACTGGCTCTGTAGACCAGACTGACCTTGAACTCACAGGGATCTGCCTGGCTCTGCCTTTTGAGTGCTGCGATCAAAGGCATGTGCCCCCACCACAAGGCGAGAAGAGATAGGGTTTTTGTTTTTTGAACAAATACAACATTCTTTATTGTCAAAGAAAAAGGAAGGGGAAGTGTTTTTTTTTTTTTTTTTTTTGTTGTTGTTGTTGTTTTTTGGTCCCCCCTGCTAGGTAGCCTCCCTGGATCTGTGGGTTGCAGTCTGACTGTCCTTTGCTTTATATCTAGTATCCACTTATGAGTGATTACATACCATGAGTCTGAGTTACCTCACTCAGGATGATATTTTCTAGTTCCATCCATTTGCCTGCAAATTTCATGCTGTCATTGTTTTTCTCTGCTGAGTAGTACTCCATTGTGTATATGTACCACATTTTTTTAATCCATTCTTCAGTTGACAGGCATCTAGGTTGTTCCCAGGTTCTGGCTATTACAAATAGTGCTGCTATGAACATAGTTGAGCATGTATCTTTGTGGTATGATTGAGCATTCTTTGGGTATATGCCCAAGAGTGTTCCCATTGCTCCACATCCTCTCCAACATGGACTGTCATTAGTATTTTGATCACAGCCATTCTGACAGGTGTAAGGTGGTATCTCAGAATCGTTTTGATTTGAGAAGTAGGAGTTTTAAGTCTAATTTCTTTTCTATCCCTCCCTACCTCCCTTTCTGCACTGTTGGAGATTTGAACTAGGGATTTTGCATATAGTAGGAAAGTACTTTACTACTGAGCTAAATTCTAGCTCCTTAAGCCCTGCTTATATTTATTTATTTGTTTGTTTGTTTTTCAAGACAGGGTTTCTCTGTGTATCCCTGGCTGTCCAGGAACTCACTCTGTAGACCAGGCTGGCCTCCGCCTGATCAGTTTTCTTTCATCATGTGGGTCCTAGGGACCAAACTCAGGTCCTCAGTCTTGACAGCAAATATTTTTACCTGCTGAGTCATCTCACCAGCTCTTGATAGATATATTTGAGACAGGGTCTCTAGTCCAGGCTGGTTTTCAACTCAATGTGTAACTGAGGACAACCTTAAATTTCTGATTCTCTTGCCTGCACCCCCTTGTATTGAGATTACAGGTGAACTGGGTGTGGAGGTGCATGCCTTTAATCCTAGCACAGAGGCAGGTGAATCTCTATGAGTTCAAAGCCAACCTGGTCTACAAAGGGAGTTCTAAGAATAGCCAGAACTGTTACACTGAGAAACCCTGTCTCAAAAAACAGACAGACAAAAACACAAACAAGACAAAACCAAACAAACAAACAAAAAGAGATTAAAGATGTGTACCACCACCCAGCTCTTTTAAATGACTACAGGGATTGAAATCAAGGCTTCATGCACAAAGTTCTCTACCAACTGTGCTAAGTCCCCAGTCCAATGATTTTTTTTTTCTGTCTCTTTTTCTTTCTTGGCCTGGGGATTAAATCCAGGCCGGAAATTGCTCCATTACTGAACTACATTCCCAGGTTAGGCTGATCATTTAAAAAAGTCTGGATGAACCAGGTATGGTGGCTAATGTCTTCAGTGCAGGCACCCAGGAGACAGAGGCAGGAGGATCTCTGAGTTAGAGGCCACCTTGATCTCCAGAGCAAGTTCCAGGACGGTTAGGACTACATAGAGAAACCCTGTCTGAGTGTATTACAGATCTTCTTTAAAAGTTCATTTCTCATCACATTATGGAGAAACCAAAGTCATCTACATGCAAGTCAAAGTGCAATTTGTTCCAGGTTTTTCCGATCTGTCTCCTAGCATCCTCCTCTTTGTTTATTTAGTTCTAGCCACAGGGGGTCCTTTGTGTTCCTAGCTTATGACAATTTGTCCAATAATCACTCCATCCCACCAGCGCGTCATGCTCTAGTCATCCACTCTGTTTTATTTTTCTAAATATCACCTGTCATTACTTAACACTCAGTTTTTTTTTTTTTGGTCTTCTTCCATGAGAATGCAAACTCTGCTACAGCATGGGTGTTGTCTGTTTTGCTCATGATTTCTCCCAGTTTCCAGAACAGCATTCTTGTATGCAACATCGATGTCTAAGTATAATACTCAAAGGATATTTCATTTCATGAGAGACCAACACCTAGTTGCTCAGACACACAGTCTTTAAAATTTTTCAGTTACATTTTTGTTTATATTTACATTACTTTTTTGGTGCATCTGGGTGTGTATGTGTACAGAGGCATGCCACGGTGCATGCACTGAGGCCAGAGGGTAACCTTTGTAAGTGACTTCTCTTCTTCCACCACTTGGGTTCTGGGTATTGAACTCAGGTCTTCAGGCTTGGCAGCAAGCAACTTTACCTGTTGAGCTGTCTCACCCCACCCCACCCCTACCCCTGCCCATTTAAAATAACAAAAATACTTTCAGCATGAAGCTATAGCCACAGCATCTGTCAGGAATTTCGGCTGTAGGAAATGATGGATGACAACATTCAGACACAGTCCTGACAGATGCCGCAGAAACACAAGCACGTGGTCAGATGCCCAATTAACTGCATATTCGTGTTACATGTTCACCAGTGCATAAACAGATGGTGACCCAGAGCGGGCTGCTCCGATGACTGGGCTACGACTCGCCTATGGGTGAAGCTCAAGGCTTATGCCTGGGCAGGTGACACCAGCGACTCGTGCTGATTGCTGAGCCACTCCCACTGGGGGCTCCGTCGCCTTGGCCGTCTCATGACCAGCTCTCGGGGGACAGTCACACTTAGCCTCTGACAGTTTCTGATGCGTGGATCCCTGTGATCGGGGATATTCCCTTGACTCAGCGCATGTCTGTGATACTTGTTCATAAATGTTTATGAATGTTTGAATATGTAGTCGTGAGTAAAGGGAAATGAAATTTGTCTAAATCAAAGTTTAGGTGAGAAAACTCTTATACTAGAACTCTAGGCTGTCACCAAGTACTCACGGCCACTCCGTGCCTCCCGCCTTGTCACCAGGACAAACGTTAATATTCATCTCTCTCCAAAGCCCCAGACTTCCCCTACCGGAGTCCTTTATAAGCGTTCTAAGCGATGAGCCGTAACCTGCCCGTCACGCACCATCCAGAGACCCCCCATTCCAGTCACTAAGGCCTCGAGCCTCCACGGCCCCGCACAGACACCTACGTCAGCCGCCATCCACCCCAGAGCCCCTAGTGGGGGTCCTCCTAAGCCCCGCCCCCTCACGTAAGTTCATGCCCCTGGTACATAGTCCGGGCGCGCCGGAAGCCCCGCCCCGGGTAGTTGCTAGGCTCCGGCAGCCGGAAGTCCCGCCTGCCGAGTAGTCGTCGCTGCCGCCGCCGCCGCCTCCGTTGTTGTTGTGGTCGCTTCTCCGAAGTCCGCGGCTCCGAGAGCCGCCTCCGTCGCCTCCCGCCGCCATGAAGTGGATGTTTAAGGAGGACCACTCGCTGGGTAAGCGCGGTCGGCCTGACCGGGCCCCGAGCCGCGGCCCCTCCCCCACTCGGGCCGCTGGGTCGCCCAGGCCCCGCCAGCCGGGGCGCCTCCTACGGACCCGTGTACCCCCTCCCCCTCCGCGGACCTTGCTGGAAGTCGGTGACGGGGACCGCGGCCAGGGACCCCGGGGGGCGAGGACTCGGGGCGTATGCGCGCTGGTTGCGGGTGGCGAAGGGCGGACAGGAAGATGGGGTTCCGGGAACCAGGGGACGACTGGCGGGCAGACGCCGACCGTCAGCTCGGTGTACTTCTCTCCCAGAACACAGATGCGTGGAATCCGCGAAGATCAGAGCGAAGTACCCCGACCGGGTTCCGGTGAGTGTGGACTCCCTGTCTCCTCACCCCTCTGTCACCCTACGAGTCTTGGATCGCTAGGCCATGCAACAGTTGATAAGGTCCCAAAGTGTAGCCGGAGACCGGACGGGTTTGGGCTGGGGCCGGCCCAAGCTTGGGGCTCAAGAGGGTGGTGCTGTTCAGGGGCATCAGTGCTGAATCTTCCGATCTAGGGCAGCAAGCTGCTTGCAGCCTCTAGGCTCCCTCGCCAATTATGTAAGGAACCGTGTTCTAGGACAGGGCAACAGGTCACTTCCACTTTGGGGAACGGTGGTGGAGGGAGACTGTCCCTTGGTCTTTGATATAGTGCCACAGTCACAGGACATTCCTCTTTAACTTTGAGCCTTTAACTTGTAGTTTCTCTTCACCCTGATACTGTCATCCTTGCTTTACCAATAAATCTGAAATGCCACCGTTTTTTCTTTAATCAATAAGTATGATGCTATGTTTCTGCCATAGTTGGGGAGATGGTTTCTGCTATCCTTATTGATTTTTGAAGGACATAAAGTCTTATTGTTGGAGCTCTTTGCTTGTAAACAGTTGCTTTGAGGAGAGAATGAGGAGGACAAATGTTAACCTGTTTAGAGAAGCAACAGGCCAAATGAACACCTTGATTCTTGAGTGGCTGGGATTGTAGAGCATTGCCATTAACTCATCTTTTCTTCTTTCCATTCTTGCTTGGGATTTTAATTCTCTAGTGGTGTGGATCTGTTCTGGGATCCTGGATTAACAGACTACAGATGAAACTCTGACCAGATAATCTTTCTTCTGCTTAGATAAAATGTTACAAAGTTAGCCGGGTGGTAGTGGTGTTCACCTTTAATCCTAGCACTCAGGAAACAGAAGCAGGCAGATCTCTTAGTTGGAAAGGTAGAAAGTTTTGTAGCTGTGTTTCTCTTACAGATGCTGAGATCAGAGATGAGAGATGTAATTGACCAAAGATAACATATTTTTATCAGATCTGGACCTCCAGAGTGTGGCTTATTAAGACCTAGGAGTATTACTCATGCTGTGCAGTTTCCCATGCATTTCCTTGCCCACTCTGTGCTCATCAGACTGTGAGGACAGAGCTTTGTGCTTACGTGCACTGTGCTCCTTGTCCCTCCCCTTCCTTCCCCTCTCATCTGTTTACAGTGCTGGGAATCAAGTACGGCCTTGGTGCATGCCAGGCAAGTGCTGCTCTTTGCTGAAGAAGAACCTCCCCTGCTGACATATCTTGACTTTTCCAGGTGATTGTGGAAAAAGTCTCAGGCTCTCAGATTGTTGACATTGACAAAAGGAAGTACTTGGTTCCCTCTGACATCACTGTGGCCCAGTTCATGTGGATCATCAGGAAAAGGATCCAGCTTCCTTCTGAGAAGGCCATCTTCCTGTTTGTGGACAAGACAGTCCCACAGTCCAGGTGAGAGGTGTTTACTAGATGTGCCTCTGGTTTAGAAATTCATCTGCTGCTTGTAAAACCCAAGCCTTAGGAGGTATAAAAGCTTAAGAGAGCCGGGCGGTGGTGGCGCGCGCCTTTAATCCCAGCACTCAGGAGGCAGAGCCAGGAGGATCTCTGTGAGTTCGAGGCCAGCCTGGGCTACCAAGTGAGTTCCAGGAAAGGCGCAAAGCTACACAGAGAAACCCTGTCTCGAAAAACCA